GCCCGAGCCTGGCTAGCAACTGCAGACATCTGTTTATCGGATCGTGATATACAGGGAAGTAAACTTATTCTTATACTTAGTAAGCTCATGAAATGGTCAGCCGCAACATGGTTGTCCCAAATAGCTTTTCCTAATATAAAGTGGGTAGTATTTAAAGATATTTTTCTTTTTTTTTCTCGTTGCGTATGCAAGTAGTTTATTTACCATACTCATGTCACGATGGGGTATATTAGACAAGGAAGAAATGGTGGTATCTGTAATACTCGCTTACATGGGGCAAATCGAACCAAGGTTGCAACGAAATTTTTTTTAAAAAGAATTAATCACCCGCAGTGAGATGCAATGTGAACCTGTGGCATTTTCATATCGTAAGCGGAGTTATCAATATAATACAAAGACCAGTGCAAATAATATGCAGGATATCAAACGTCCTAGGTTGTGTTGCTCTACAAAATGTTACGCTTGTGGAAATCTTTTGAGTGTTTCAGCCGTTCGCATGATAAACAGCAAACAACTCGGAATTCCGATCGCACCAACTCGGCCGTGGCTATAACGAAGACCTCCGTGACATGCTACAAGTGTGGTGCTGATGGTCAAGTGGCATCACGATGCTCGAAAACGTGGCCAGTTGCAAGCGGCAGCACCCAGACTACCGCCACATCCAGCGTAGTAAAACGAGTGGACGCATGCGGCGTGAAACCTGTCACCGGGGTGATCACTAAATTTGGTGAGCAGTTTTCATTTTGATTTCATTCCGGTGCTGATTGTTTCCTAGTTTAAAATAGTAACTCGCTTAAACTTGATGGTGAAATACAACATGCAATTGTTACTCTGATAGGTGTAGGAAAATCTAGCGTATTGTGTGATTTAGAGGTTTTATCTTGTGTTACTCTTTGTGGTCATGATGTACAAAGTTTATTTCACGTTATAACTGATGATTTTCTGAGTAATGATATTCTGATTGGACGCGATTTATTGGCTTTAGGGTTATCGTACACATATCGAGTGACAAACTTACTATAATCGAAAAGCCTTCTCTTGTTAATATTTGTGACGTAGGTAAGGCTGTAACTGATTTCGATAATGTAGATACGGACATTACAAATAATTTTAAATCGCAATTAATGAAATTTCTTGGCTGCTTTAAGGACTCATTTGTCGAAGGCACGCCTACAAGTAGAGTACAGACGGGTGTCACATTCCGTAGTTTTATCCCCATAAATAAGAATACGCGAGAAATGTTTTTTATTACTTAATTTTTTGCATTTTAGGAAGGAAGAGAGCTATTAAATTAACTAATTATTATGTTAAATAAATTTAAAAAAATAAGACTAAAAGGTTCAACGTCTCGACGTGACAATTACTAAGTAAGTGTACGTCATATGATTTGAAAATTAATTTTATTTAAAAATTACAAAAGGGTCATTCATAATGGTGAGAAGTCTAACAGACAGGTTCTATGTTAATTTGCGCATGCCACAGAGGAATTAAACAAATGTTGAGTCCTTATTATTGATTGGCCCATGCACCTTACTACACAAATGTCACACACCTCTCTAAACAGTTTCCTGCCCCCCCCTCCACGGGAGACACGCTCCCTGCTTTGAAAACGCTTCGTTAAGAATATTTTGGTTTCAAATAGGAAAATATTTGCTAATAACAATGGATATACATGTCAATTATTTTAGCTCCACTGCTTTTACCACCAGAATCCATCAAAATTAGTTCGATGTGTGCTGTCATATGCATAATCTACGCGATATTATAGATGTGCTAGAATGTGCCGTATTGCAAATATATTCTTAGGTAAAAAGAAAATGGAAGTTTCATTCACGAAGCTTCCGTATCCTTGTTTACTCTGATATAAACTCGCAATTAACAACATTAGGGATGCCAAAATACGCATTAGAGCTTGGGTTTAGTTTAGAATTAAATTTATGGCTGGAGTCTAAATTTTGTGTACGCCAGTCGTTGTCTAAAAGCTTAATTTGCGAACTACTTCCGTTGTTTGATTTAAAGCGACGTCATGCGTGTATATTTTATTAAAAAAAAGTGCTGCTTGTGTGGACTTGTGCTTGGGGGCTTGAGTTTGTTGTGTAATTTTATGACTAATAGAACATTCTCTGATTACCTGTGGGTCTATTACTTTTCATTTTGATAAAGAATTTACATTTTTCAAAATGAAAATTATTGATCTTTATAAAATGACCAGAAGGAATACCTGCGGAGTTTTCTACAGCGTTTCGTAGTCAGGATGTTGTCTTTTGATAAACTAAATTTTAATATCTTGCGTAGAAGTATAAAGAGTTTTTTATTTTCCTGTTTCCGATTTATTTTAATAAAGCCCGAAGGGGGATTCTATATTGTATATTTTATAAGCGGGTTTTACGAGTAAAGTGGGTGATAGGTGGTTTCCGCCGTGCTTATTGGCAGACTTCATAATTCGCGGATTATTTTTAATTTCTTCGACATGCTACTTTCTTAACGATTTTTATCTTTACCAGAGTAATATTGGCCCATAAAAATTGAAACATTAAAATGCTTAAAACTACAATGTTATTGATGCCTAATAAGTATTCTGAATCAAGTTGATTGCTGGTTTTCATCGCGTGATATCGATTGTTCTCTAAAAATAATGCTCTGTTAAATAATAATTTTATTTTATTTGATTTGTTAGATTTTGTTATTAAATAAGATTCTATATCTTATTTAATCTCATTAAAGTTACTGTATTGCACTTCATACATGTTACGACAAATCAGAGCAGAGGCTAAGCCTCGAGTGGGGTCGAGGCGCCATTTTGACGGTTACCGCACAATTACTTTTTTAGTGTTTGTGTGATCGTGGTGAAGAGGCATTCCTTTTTTGGTGTTCGTACGGTGAAGTCGTGAGATCGGTGTCGCGAACCTGCTGCTCGTACTTTGTTTATATTAAACGTTTTTAATTTAAAATTGCATGGCATTGCAAAGTAGTAATTCCGTTAGTGACTTTCAAAATTGTTAAACTTTAATTAAATTGTACAGATACAGTGAATACTTTGTTTTGTGCTCGCATTTAACCCTAATGACGCCCACTAGACCCGTGGTCACCGATGACCATTTCGAGGAGAATTGTGTTTCTCCGACATCAAAAGTGGGATCGGTGCAGGCACAAAACGCGGATAAATGGATCGAGGCGAACGACGGTTTGCGCGCTTTTTATTTGAGGCGCAGTAAAATAACATGCGACTACTTGTGGAGGCGCTACGCAATTCGCCGGCTATCTAGGACAAGAATATTGGATTGCCTGAATTCCACTCCGAAAATGCAGACACTGATGCCCGAGCCTGGCTAGCAACTGCAGACATCTGTTTGTCGGATCGTGATATACAGGGAAGTAAACTTATTCTTATAGTTAGTAAGCTCATGAAATGGTCAGCCGTAACATGGTTGTCCCAAATAGCTTTTCCTAATATAAAGTGGGTAGTATTTAAAGATATTTTTCTTTTTTTTTCTCTCGCTGCGTATGCAAGTCGTTTATTTACCTCAATCATATCACGATGAGCTAAATTAGACAAGGAATTATTAATTAATTTTAGAGAAGGAAAGGAGAGTGGTATCCGTAATACTCGCTCACAAATCGAACCAAGGTTGCAAGGAAATATTTTTTTTAAAAAGACCCGCAATGAGATGCAATGTGAACTTGTGGCATTTTCATATCGTAAGCAGAGTTATCAAGATAATATAAAGACCAGTGCAAATAATATGCAGGATATCAAATGTCCTAGGTTGTGTTGCTTCTACTAAATGTTACGCTTGTGGAAAACTTGGCCATAGATTTTTTGAATGTTTCAGCCGTTCGCATGACAAACAGCAAACAACTCAGAATTCCGATCGCACCAACTCGGCCGTGACTATAACGAGGATCTCCGTGACATGCTACAAGTGTGGTGCTGAGGGTCACGTGGCATCACGATGCTCGAAAACGTGGCCAGTTGCAAGCGGCAGCATCCAGACTGCCGCCACATCCAGCGTAGTAAAACGAGTGGACGTATGCGGCGTGAAACCTGTCACCGGGGTGATCACTCAATTTGGTGAGCAGTTTTCATTTTGATTTGATTCTGGTGCTGATTGTTCCCTAGTTTAAAATAGTAACTCGCTTAAACTTGATGGCGAAATGCAACATGCAATTGTTACTCTGATAGGTGTAGGAAAATCTAGCGTATTGTGTGATTTACAGGTTTTATCTTGTGTTACTCATTGTGGTCATGATGTACAAAGTTTATTTCGCGTTATACCTGATGATTTTCTGAGTAATGATATTCTGATTGGACGCGATTTATTGGCTTTAGGGTTACCGTACACATATCGAGTGACAAACTTACTATAATCGAAAAGCCTTCTCTTGTTAATACTTGTGACGTAGGTAAGGCTGTAACCGATTTCGATAATGTAGATACGGACATTACAAATAATTTTAAATCACAATTAATGAAATTTCTTGGCTGCTTTAAGGACTCATTTTTCGAAGGCATGCCTACAAGTAGAGTGAAGACGGGTGAATTAGAAATTAAACTAATGGATCCTTGCAAAATCGTGCAACGTTGGCCTTACTGCTTGATTGCTGAGGAACGGGTAATAGTGTTCAATAAGTGTAGTGAATTATTATCTGTTGGGGTTATTAGACCTAGTAAATCTCTAGTCAATCTAGTCCCATCTTGCTAGTAAAAAGGAAGGTTCTGATAAAATGTTCGTGGATTATCGTGTATTAAATCGAATAACCGTCAAAACTAGATATCCTCTCCCCTCGATCAACTACTATATAGATAGGTTAGGTAATGCTAACTGGTTTAGCTCTCTGGATATGGTTTTCAGTTTCCATCAACTTAAGAGTTGCAGAAGAGTCGATTCATAAGACCGCATCCGTTATACCAGAGGTCCAGTATATTAATATTGCAAGGTACCCTACGGTTTAGCAAACGCGCCGATTTTTTTATCAGAATAAAAACGCTAACTGAAACCGGTTTATTCAATTAATTTAAAGAAATCTACTTTTCTTCCTAACGAAATAGAATACCTAGGTAGGATTATAAGAGATGTTCAGGTTAGACCAAGCAATTATAAAATTGATGCTTTAGTTATTTTTCGAGACATCCTTTAGCGGCGCTTCAAATTGGCACAGTCATTTTGTATGGTATAGCCAGTCCAGCGTACTTGTATATATATATATATATATCAGTGCCGACATCACACTGATCTCGCGCCAACTTGTCATCCGGCCATCGTTCCAATACATACCAATGAAGCCCAAACGCCCGCTCTACACGTTGCCCAATGCTATTTTTTAAGTTTTATAGATTACAAACCAAAATTTTAGTATATGATTTTTAACTATATGGTCTTGAATTACATAAAAGGAAAACATGATATCATGTAATTTTCTCGATAGAAAAAAAAATTGCAAAATAGACTAATTATTTACATTTCTCGATGACACCACAATATTCTTACGAATAATTTCATGGAATTATTTTTGAGGCATAGTAAATAATCATATCTAAGTTCCCATAAAGCAGTTTTTTTAATCCATAAAGAAGTTATGTTAAAATAAATAAAAATGTTGTTTGGCGCTTACTTAGTTTTTTTTGAACGCTTGCTCGGTACGGCTATTTCATAATTTGTGTACTATGAAGTCATTGCATCACTTTTAATTTGACACTACCGCAGTCTTCCGTTAGCTTCACCGACAATGGAATAAGCCACGCCCCCAAAACTTCGATTCATTTTCAAGGTCTGCTCTTAAGGCTAGACTACAGTTCATAATAATTCTGAAGGACTAAGAATTGAAATGTTGTCATCCTTACGGATATATTACGGAAAAATAACATGCTCATTGTAATTTAATGCAAGAGTGTATAGGCACTATTTATTCCACCTATCCGTTGCAGCCAGAAAAGTCACGCTTGCCAAGCGGGTTGGCAGCCGCAGTTTTTATAATTTTGAGTTGTTGTCGGGAAGATGCTGCTGCCCATCTCCAGTTTCATCTTCCTTCTGTCACCTGTTACGTAACCCACGGGGACGATATGGTGTAGTGGGTATTTTTACACCGCCACTACATGGTTGTGACGAGCACTATTGTATGATTTAATTTCACTGATAATTTGAATCATAACTAACGGAATTGAACTAAAAAAAGGAAAGTACAGTTTCATTTTTCTCACATATTCTCTCTGAACTCAACTGATTGAATCTAGAGCTAGGGTTTTGGAGTAGGAAAGAGTCCACCGTACACTTTTCGTGTTATGGTTATACAATTTTAATTTTGAATGAAACTTTCGTTTTATTGAGTTAGGAGAATACCTGATAAATTTCTTTCGCCATTTCTTCTCTAAACTGAGGAACCTCATTTCTAAAGGGTAGTAAATTAAAAAAAAACATGTTGACTTTTATAAACGAAATTTTAATTCGCTTTGCTTACTCTCGCACTTTTGACATTGGTCTCCGACTGTGTTCACATTTCTGTCATATTTATTAATTAATTCATGACAACCTATCAGAATTCCACTTAACATAGGCTTCTCATCTAGACTATTTTACAATACTTGCCATACACTCATCACATATAAAACAGTTGGTACACCGTATAAAATGTGCTAGTTCTTTTTACAGTTTCAATTAGTCACCTTTTTATGACTCTCATCAAACGTAACGTGGTGATAGATAGTCTCACGCCGCAATAACGTGGTACTCTTACAATATATTACTCAATGTTTAAGGACGCGTTTACAAAATGGATAGGTATAGAATCGCACTACTACATTGACAAAAGTCACACACTCACTAGTGTACGCACGGTTGGCTGTGGGAATCGTAGTCAAATGAAATTATTTTGATAATTTGAAAGATTGAATTTGTTTTTCATTTCTTATACCTACCTCAGAAATATACTTCGATACGAAATATGAATACCTGCTCCAAAGACTGCTTGGCACTGGAAGCCCTCTACTGGTAGTGAGATGTTAGCTCTGGACTTTGAACTGGTTTTGTCAGTTATAATAAGACCTTACCTACCTGCGGACTTGATGGAGTGACCTGAAGGTGTAATTTGGTGATTACAACAATAGGAACTCCTAGACTAGTGGAACTAGGTGTGCCGAGTTTGGGTTCGTTTTGTTGGTTATGATGAGACCTTACCACCGGACTTGATGGAGTGACCTGAAGGTGTAATTCGGTGATTACAAGTGGAACTCCTAGACTAGTAGAACTAGGTGTGCCGAGTTTGGGTTCGTTTTGTTAGTTATGATGAGACCTTACCACCAGACTTGATGGAGTGACCTGAAGGGGTAATTCAGTAACTACTGCTGGAATTTCTGAACGAGTAGAACTAGGTGTGCCGAATTTGGGCTCCGTTTTGTTAGTTATGACGAGTCCATACCTCCGGACTTGATGGAGTGACCTGAAGGTGTAAATCGGTGATTGCAACTGGAACTCCTAGACTGGTGGAACTAGGTGTGCCGAGTTTGGGTTCGTTTTGTAGGTTATGATGAGACCTTACCACCGGACATGATGGAGTGACCTGAAGGTATAGTTCGGTGATTACAAGTGGAACTTCTAGACTTGTAGGACTAGGTGTGCCGAGTTTGGGTTTGTTTTGTTAGTTATGATGAGACCTTACCACCAGACTTGATGGAGTGACCTGAAGGGGTAATTCAGTAACTACTGCTGGAATTTCTGAACCAGTAGAACTAGATGTGCCGAATTTCACTCCATCAAGTCCGGTGGTAAGGTCTTATCGTAACTAACAAAACGAAACCAAACTCGTCACACCTAGTTCTACTAGTCTAGGAGTTCCATTTGTAACCACCTGATTACACCTTCAGGTCACTCAATCAAGTCCGGTGGTAAGGTCTCATCGTAACTAACAAAACGAACCCAAACTCGGCACACCTAGTTCTACAAGTCTAGGAGTTCCACTTGTAATCACTGAACTACACCTTCAGGTCACTCCATCAAGTCCGGAGGTATGGACTCATCATAACTAACAAAACGAAGCCCAAATTCGGCACACCTAGTTCTACTCGTTCAGAAATTCCAGCAGTAGTTACTGAATTACTCCTTCAGGTCACTCTATCAAGTCCGGTGGTAAGGTCTCATCGTAACTAACAAAACGAACCCAAACTCGGCACACCTAGTTCTACCAGTCTAAGAGTTCCAGTTGCAATCACCGATTTAGACCTTCAGGTCACTCCATCAAGTCCAGAGGTATAGACTCGTCATTACTAACAAAACGGAGCCCAAATTCGTCACCCCTAGTTTTACTCTGCAAGAAGTTCAAATAGCGGTCACGAAAGTACA